TCTTTCTTTTTCAAAATGCCGAGCTCAGAAGCCAAATACACACACACACACACACACACACACACACACACACACACACACACACACACTCATAGCATAGCCAGGTGGATTGAATGCAATGCACTGCATCTATGTATTCTGGTAGCATCTCATTGATTTTGGTTTAAAATAGAAGGGAAGGTAGTGTCCCAAATGAGATATCTTTAACAGAAACCTGAGTTTAACTTTTATTAACTATATAATAATTGATACTGCCAATTACCATTCTGAATTTCATATAGTATAAGTTAGATATTGTTTCATCCTTTTTAAATGCATTTATATAAACTGAACCCTCAAATTGCTGGATATTTTAGGCTATATCCGACTTAAGTTTTTTCACCTCTTACATTCAAGTTAGCTTCTTCAGCCCAGATATCAAAACAGTGGAGGAAGAAATGAACTGTATTCCAGGGAATACTTCAAGGCTAAGTGAAAGCACAGAACTGTAGGCAAACAGGCTTGCAAAACAATATTAGTCATAACATCCTTAACAAGTCACAGGATTCTCTCTGTCAGCATGCATGTCAGCTGGCAAAGAATAGATCTGCATGAAAAAGTGCCCACATGCTGGCTGGATCTGGCCGCTTTGGCCAGCTGGATGCTGCTAGATTGTACTATTTAATGTCGAATTTTGACTTGTGGTAGACAGCTGTGCTGTGTGTCAGCATCCTCAGATGAGGGATGGGAAAAAAAAAAGACAAGGAAAAAACGCATTTGAGTGAAGAGAGAATGGAAGGGAAAGAAAGGAAACACAAAAGCTTGTTCCATGACAGGTGTGAGTTGCTATGGTACATACAATAATGTTAAGGACAGCCTCCAATAATCAAGTAAGTAGCCGACATGGGTGGCTAGCAGTGCTGAGACCTGGCTGCTCCATTGGAAGTTTGGAAACACAATTTATTTATGGAACAACTTTATATATCTTAAAATGGTTTTACCATCTTATATTAAATGAACTGTTGACAGGCGTGCACTTTGTCCAGTGAGCACATACTATGTGGATTTTATATGCACATCTGTAGTGTGAATCCACTGGCACAGTGTGTGTAAATTCCAGATGTGGTGAGAGTTTCCCTTGTACAGGTCATCAGATAAAGCAACTCCTGACAGAAACTGTAAGGAAACCAGCAAAATGTTTGACCCAAAGATGGATGTTGTATGGTTTATGTTAAATATATATTCTTTTAATCACTGAAGAAAGCATTAAAAAGTGACCATTGTAATGTATTTTATTGTATATGAAACACAAACTGTCGATGTTTAAATAAAACTCTTTGGCTGCAGAGTTTAGAAAGCTTAAGTTTTTTTTTTTTTTCACTTTGAGAAAATCCAAGCTTACAAACAGACTAAGTCAAGCATGTTCACACACTCCTATAATCCTAGTTCTTAGAGACAACAGGAAGATTGTAAATTGAAGGTCACTGTCTCAGTTACTTCTCTGTTGCAGTGAAAAGCACCATGACTAAGGCATCTTATAAAAGAATGTGGTTAATTGGGCTCACAGTTTCAGATGGTGGAAGAAAAGCAGGACACCAGCAGGAAAATCTGAGAACTCTTTTCTTCATCCACAAGTAGGAGGGAGGAAGAACTGAATATGGCACAGGGCTTTTGAAACCTCACAGTCCTATATCTTAGTAACTGTTCTATTGCTGTGTGAAATGACACCATGACCAAGGTAGCTCCTGTAAGTGGAAACATTTAACTGGGGGCTTGCTTACAGTCTTGGTGGCTTAGACAATTGTCAACATGTGAAAAGAATGGCAGCATGCCAGCAGGGATGGTTCTGAAGAAGTAGCAGAGTTGCTTTTTTTTTTTTTTTTTTTTTTATTTATTTTATATAACCAAGTTCATTTAAATGAAAACAAACATTTATACACAATATTTGGGAATTTGGGCGTCATTCTTTCCAAACTCCTTCCTACTGGTAAGGGGCGCTGTCATGGGTGATTCGAAGAAGATGCAGAAATCCTGGCTGTAGTCTGTAAGTTTTGAATGTAGGATCACCTCATACTCTGTTTCAGGTGGTCTGGCTTGATCAAACCACATTAGTCTGGAAGGAATCCACATCTTTTTATTTTCTGTGGAAACAAAAATAGAAATCCTTTTCCCCAGTAACTTGTCCTTGAACTTAAATTTTGGAGTCAAAGCATTTTTTAATTTAATTTATTATTTTACATATCAATCCCAGTTCCCTCTCCCTCCCTCCCTCCTTCTCTCCCTTCCTCCCTTCCTCCCTTTTTCCCTCCCTCTTCCCTCCCTTTTCTCTCTCTGCCCTCTCACATGCCCTCTAACCATCCTCTGCTCCCATACCCCCACCCCAATTCCATATGTAGGGGAATGCCATCCAGTTGGGGCCATGTAGGTCTGACAGGTCATGTGAAGTAGGGACTAGGGCTTCTCTCCTGCCTCTAGATTAAGGCAGTTATCCCAGTCCAAAAACTGTTGTTTCTATGTGAAATAAAAAATTTTATTTTAAAAATATATTCATGAATCTATATAAGTATTTCATATGATATCAATGCATGAATCTATATTTAAAAAGACAGTGGAAGGACAAAAGCCACATGGCAACATACTCTGAAGTGTTGTAAACATCACTTCCTAACAGATGTTTTCCATTGATTCAACCATTGTCTACTTTACTAAGTATTGTATACTGATTTTATGTTTTGTTTATGAAAGAAGATGAAGCAGAGATGGTTACTCTTATATCCTATAATTACACACTCACATTGCTCAAAAGTAATGCCCAATTCAATTTCATGAGCTTTCACCTGTCCCATTATCACTTCAATTAGTCTAAGTATAAGGGAAACTAAATGTCTTATCATGTCAGGCTCTTGTTTCAGGCTATGAACAAACTATGACAGCAAGAATCTGGGTCCCTAGGATTCACAGAGCAGGAGAACGACATTTAGTATGTGATTACTACAGGCCAGAATTAGCACTTAAATAATGAATTCGATTTCTTGAGTTGCAAATTTTAGGTCAGATATGGAACAATTTTGCATGTTTTTATGCCCAATGAAATTAATAGTATTTTGGGAATCAAAATTGCTAATACAAAGTAAAATACTGCTCCAGGGAGAGAAAGAAGAAAGTGGGTTTAAACAGAGATTTAAGGATGTCAAGTTTACAAAAGTTTCAATATAAAACTTGATTGTAGATAAATACTAGTCATTAGTTCTTTTCAATTTGCTGAATCAAGAAATAAAATGGGAATGAAGAAGTAGATGTACATGTTGTAAAATTCTAATTAACAGAATAGAGGGAAGCAGTGCATTCAGTACAAAGCTTTGCTTTCTGTCTGGAGCAGAAACACCTCCTGGTCACTGAATGTCCCCATTGCCACTAGGGAACCATTCCAGTCATGATCACACTGCTGTGCTAGAGAATGAGTTCTTATGCTGTTCCTTTACACTGAAGCAAAATATAACTGAACAGGTGAAAACCACTGGTTGAATACACCGACAGGAAATTCATTAGTTAGGTCTCACTCTCTATTCCTATCAGTATGCAAGACCAAGAACATGAACACCAGTCTGAAGATACTTGAACTCCCTACCTCAGAAAGAGGTATCTCAAAGTAGTTACATTATGGCAGCTCTCTCAATGCAGCCCATGGAAAACAGTCAATATCTTATATGTTAAGAATAAAATGACAGGCATGGTGGTACACACCCTTAATTCCAGCACTCTAAGGGCAAAATCAGGAATATCTCCAAAGTCAAGGCCAGCCTGGTCATCACAGCAAGTACAAGGGACTACACACACAGACCCTATCTCTAAGAAGCAAGCAAACAAAATTAATCAATGTATAAATAGTTAAACTGAGAAAAGAGGAAATATATAAAAAGCCAGTCAGACTGACAGGAAGGGAATAGGGCTCTTTGCCTACTGTGTGAGCTGAGAACCTCAGCTGTCACCAGAATGTACTGTAGAAAAATAATATTCCAGCTGTCAATTAATCACCATACATTGAGCATCAGAATAGGAATGCCTGTACCTACTTTTGCTCTCTCTCTCTCTGTCTCTCTCTCTCTGTCTCTCCCATCTCTTTCACCTATCACACACAGCATACACAAGCACACTTGTTTTTGAAGTGTTAAAACTCGTCAGTGAACTAAGTTAAAAAAAAAAAAAACCTGAAGTTCATCATTAGGCAATATTCTGGCTTCTTTAAACCATATGTAAGTTTTTAAAGTCTCTTATTCTTCATTTTTGGTCATTCATATCTAACTGCAAAAAGTAGGGTACATATTTCGTAAGATAACCAAATCACAAAAACTACAAATGCTTTACATCTTTTTATATAATTTATGTCTGCAGATAGATGCATTGTTGTTCACTACTCCCATGTCTGATGAACACATGCATGTCTGGTGTACTTGGAGGCAGAAGTGGCCACTGGATTCCTTAGATCTGGAGTGCTTTAAACCCCAATATGAATACTGAACTCTGGTTTGACGTAGCAGCCAGTCTTAACTACTGAGCCACCATCTCTCCAGCCATAGACATTTCCCCCTTGAACCACTGAATTGTTGGTACAGTAAAAAAGACTACATTATGGAATCATGTTTATGGAAACCTGGCTGGGTTTTTGGTTATTTATTTTGTTTTGTTGTTTTGTATAATCGATGCCAAACAAGATTATTTATTCAATAGAAATTTATTTGATTAAATATACAATATCTCTACATTTGTCTAAAACCATAGCGAACACATTCCAGGTAAAGATACAAAGCATTCCCAGTTTAAGATAGACCAATAATAAAATTACATTTATAAAACTACCATAATTATGAATAGGTAGTCCACCTGAAAAATACTATACAGAATTAAATAAAATGGAAAAAATTACCAATAAGATTCAGAGTTAAATCATCCTTATTTACAAAATGCTATTCTGTTACCATTTGATTTGAGGAGCAATATCATCACATAGGAACAGCAGTTACCTAAACTTCATCTAAAAAGAAAATGGATGCCGAGGAATCGGTCAGGTGTCCTCTGTCTCCAGATGTTCCAGTGCAGGCTGGAGGTTCTGGTGCAGGTTGACTGGAAGTAGGATTCAAGTCAGGAGAGAACTCATTTCTACTTTGAGATGTAAGAGTGGTGGAAGAACTCGAAACTTGGGGGAAGATAAGATGGAAATCCCCTTCATTTGCACACATTTCTCCCTGTTCCAAGAGACAGGAAAAAGACAGTGGGAGTTGAAACCCTGTACTGCACCCTTGTTAAACCACTAGTTCCAGCCCTTATTCTGGTATCCAAACATTCATACCACAATATTTGATCTGCCAAATAAATCTTGACATTACATAATGGACATTTTAGCTACAAAGGACTAATAATAACATCACAAAAAATTTCAAGGGTGTTTGTCACTGGCAGCAATGCAAGATCTCAATACAGTGCAGACTTACTGGAAATAAGCTTTTCAATACATTAAAACTTTGAAACTTAACATTCAGGTCATTGATCTCGACCTGATATCCTATTTGAAGCATTTCCTGTCATGCCAAGGACAACCTTAAATCCCTCCACCACCAAAAAAAAAAAAAGCCTCATGGCATGCTCATAGAAACTTAAGACTAAAGGTGAGGGCACAGAGCAGACAACTAGGACAACTAAGCTAGTTCTTGTCTAGTATTGGAAATATGATTTTCTGTATGGAAACATGTGATTCCAAAGGGGGAAATTATACTGTAAAATCAATAAATTACTTTTATTTTAAAATGTAAGGGTTGGAAAGAATTTCAAAAAATTCAATAAATGACTAAATATGATCTTAGATTTTGATTAGGATCATGTGGGAACCACTACTTAGGAGACATACTTAATACTTTAAAACAATTTAGCCAGTAATCATAAGACAAACATCTAAGTAATTATTTTAAATATTTTTTTTATTTTAAATATTTTAAATATACTCTTATATTACATGAAGTACACATATACTTAACATTAAAAATGCTTGTAACTGAACATTGGTGGCACAGGCCTTTAATCCCAGTATTTGGGAAGCACAAACTAGCTTTCCAGTTAAGGCTCCAAAGCTATAGGGAAACCCAGCCTTGGGGAGAAAAACAAAGCAAAACAAAAACCTGCTTATACATTCAATGATCTTTTAACCTATCATATTACAGTTAAAATTCAAATTCAAATTTGCCTAATATTGATCAAGGTGAAGCTTTTACTTCCTTTGATGCTGGACAGTAACCTGTGAGCCATATAAACCCTGTCCCTCTCAAGTTGGTTCTGGCTAGTGTTTCTCCCTGTAAAAGGAACCTAACTTGATGGAAAGCACAGATAAGCACTGACACAAACACAGACCTTTAAAGAAAGCCTACATGGCATTGGAGGAAACTGCAGGCCTTCAATATCCCTTATTGGGACATACTGTTGAGGATCTGCACAGGTGTTTCCTGGTGGAGGAGTTGGTGGGATCTGTCCTCTAGGATCACCTGGTAAGGCAGGGCCTCCAGGGCCTCTAACCTTGGGAACAAGTGGAGGAATCAAGCCATGGCCAGCTGGTTGGCATTCAGCAGGGACATAGTTGGGCACACTTGCCTTCTGTAACAGAGAAACAATCAGCAGTAAGTAAAGACATTTAATTAACAGCTCCTTTCCTGGGTGTGTGAGGCATAGAAGAAAGCAGTCCATTACATTCTAGTAAGGCTGGGGATAGGCTCAGTATCCCACAAAGGTGCAGGAGCTGCTTATTTGTTATTCTAAGTAGTTTTACTGACTTCACTCTCTCCACACCTCTTCCATATTGTAGTTGAAGTTCTAGCTAAGGCATTAAGACAACAAAAGAAGATCCACGGAATACAAATTAAAAGTAACAAATCAAACTTTCACTATTTGCAGATGATATGACAGGTTACATCAGGGAATACCTACCACTGATAGACACCTTTACCAAAGTGGCAGGATACAAAATTAACTAAACATATAAAAAAATTAATCACTAACCCTACTATATACATATGATAAAGGGGCTGAGAAAGGAATCACAGAAACATCTCTTTTTTTTTTTTTTTTTTTTTGCATTATCCAAGAAAACATAAAATAGCTTGGGGTAATGTTAACCAAACAAGTGAATAACTTATTTAATAAGAATTTTGAGTCTTTAAAGAAAAAAAATTAAAGAAGATACCAGAAAATGGGAAGATCTCTCATGCTTTTGGATAGGTAGGATTAACATAGTAAAAATAGTAGTCTTTCCAAAAGTAATCAACAGATTCAATGCAATCCCTATCATAAACCCCAGCACAATTCTTCACAACCTTGAAAGAACAATAGTTCTTCCTATGGAAAAACAGTAGACCCAGGGTAGGCTAGACAACGTTGTATAATAAAGGAACTTCTTTCTGGAGGCATCACTTTCCCTTTCTTCAAGCTCTACTGTAGAGCTATAGTCCTGAAAACAGTTTGGAACTGTCACAAAAATGGATAGGAAGACCAATGGAATCAAATTTAAAACACTGATATTAACTCATACATCTACCAATACCTGATTTTTGACAAAGCAGCTAAAGTTATACAATGGAATATAAAAAGCATTTTCAACAAATTGTGCTGGCATAACTGGAGGCTGACCTGTAGAAGACTCCAGATCACCATGCATAATACTTAAGTCTAAATATATCAAAGAAAGACCTCACCATAAATCCAGCCACATTGAACCTCCCAGAAGAGAAAGGGGGAGGTATCCATGAAAAAATTGGTACAGGAGCCTGCTTCCTGAACATAACTCCAGTACCACAGACTCTGAGATCAACAATTAATAAATGAAATCTCTTGAAATTGAAAAGCTTATTTAAGACAAAGAACACAGTCAACAAGACAAAATGGCAGCCCACACAATGGGAAAAGATCTTCAACAACCCCACATCTGACATAGGGCTGATTTCCACAATGACAAAGAACTCAAGAAGCTAGGTACCAAAACACCAAATATTCTAATTAAAAAGTATGGTACAGAACTAAATAGAGACACCTAAGAATGTGTTCAAAATCCTCAGACACCAGGGAAATGCAAATCAAAAAACTCTGAGATATCATCTTACTCCTGTCAGAATAGCTAAAAACAAAAACACAAATGACAGTTTATGCTGGAGAGGATATGGAGACTGTAGTAAATTCTTCCACTGCTGGTGGGAGTGCAAACTCGTACAGACATTTTGGAAATCAGTATGGTGGTTCCTCAGAAAAATGGGAATCAGTGTACCTCAAGTTTCAGTAATTCCACTCTTAGGCATATACCCAAAATATGCACACTCATATAACAAGGACATCTGTTCAACTATGTTCATTGAAGCATTATTTGCTCAACTGAAGAATGGATGGAGAAAATGTGGTACATTTAAAGAATGAAATACTATTCAGAGGGAATAAACAATGTAATCTGGAAATTTGCTGGCAAATGGAAGGAACTAGATGGAACCATCCTGAATGAGGTAACCCGGTCACAAAATGACAAACATGGTATGTACTCACTCATATATGGCTTTTGGACAGAGCAAAGGATGGCCAGCCGACAATCCACAATGCCAGAGAAGCTAGGAGACAAGGCAGACCCTCAGAGAGACATACATGTTGCCGTGGAGAAGGAGAAATGGGCAAGATCTCCCTAGAAAATTGGGAGAATTGTGGATGGTGGGAGTTAGGGAGAAAATGATGAGAGAGGTAGGCATGATGGAACAGGAAGATTGAGTTAGGGAAAGAATAGGGGAGAGCAAGAAAGGAGACATTATAATAGAGGGAACCATAACAGGTTTTAAGAGAAATCTGGCACTAGGGAAATGCCAAGAGATCTATAAGAATGACCCCAACTCACAATGTGAGCAACAGTGGAAAGGCTACCATAAATGCCTTACCTTGATAATGAGATTGATAACTAACTTATATGCCATCATAGAACCCTCATCTAGTAGCTGATGGAAACAGAAGCAGTACCCACAGATAAACACTGAGCCAAACTCCTAGAATGCAGTTGCAGAGAGGGAGGGATGTTGAGACAAGGAGTGAAGGTCAGGGTACAGAAACTCACTGAGGCAGCCTACCTGAACAAGGGGAAACACATGTACCCAAAACTGATAACTGGGTAATCAGCATTGGACCGACTTAGACCTCTAGAATGTGGGACTCAGGTAGAAGGCCCCGTAAGTCTAAGGGGCTTCTGTCAGTGGAACCAGGATGTATCCCTGGTGCACAAAAGGTCTTTGGGTCCACATTCTCCATGGAAAAATATTCACTTAGCCTAGAGCCAGGAGGGAGGGCCTAGTCCCTACTTCAAATAATTTGACAGATTTAGATGATCCCACCTGGAAGGCATCACCCTCCCAGTGGAGGGTTACGGGAATAGGATGGGAAGGTTCCCAAGGGGGCATGAGAGAGAGAAGGATCAGGGATCAGTATCTAAAACAAGAAAAAATAATAAATATAACTAAAAAAAGATTCAAATAAGATTTCAAGGGAGAAAATCTGAAATCGTGTACAGCATCTAAACAAGCTTTGAATTTCATGTAAATGTTGTACTTCTTTTAGGGCGATATATTGGGCTTCTTTCTGTTTTTTATCTTAATATTTTTTTTTCATTAACAGGAATGGGTGTTTTCCTACATGTATATCTTCATACTATATACATTCAGTTTTCTGGAAGGATACAATAAGCCTTCAGATCCCTTGAAACAGGAGGTAAGAAGGTGCTGGGAATTAAACCCAAGTTCTTTAGGAGAGCAGCCAGGGCTCTTAACCTGTAAGCCATTTAGCAAGCCTATGTGGATTTTTGAGACAAGATCTGCTTATAAGGCCCACACTGGCTTTTAATTTACCATCTTTCTGATGTAGCCTGCCAAAATGCATGGATTACATGGACCATCAAAATTTGTCTTGTGATCTGTACTATTTCGCAGAAGGTTACAAGCCAACAATGAGAATGTTAACTCTAAGTACAGGTATATTATATTAATATCATAATATCACAAAGTAGAAGAGCTCTCACCTTGTTCTAATAAAACAGAGAAACTAGTTGTGGATTCTTGGGTAGAATTCAGTTTCCAATACTTACCCCAGGGTCTGTTTTGGTGGCATTCTTCTTGTATTCCAACGTGGAGGATGCTGGCCTATCTAGACAGGAAAATCAAATCAGGAGAACTTCATGAGTTCTCACTTTATCCCACGACTGTTTCCAGATCCAAGTGACCCTGACATGTTCCACTCCCCCTGGCCAGTACAGAGAACAACTGGACACAAATACAATAGTATTCCTCATTAGGGTCCCCAAAGCACCATGAGAACCTTGGAAATTTCAATAGGACAAAAGAACATTCGTTTGCAGTGTGCTGGTGACCTTTCCAACAGGCTCTTAGGTAATCGTACTGAGGTAGCCTAAGCGAAGAACTCAGGATGAAGCATCTGCTTCCTCTGTCTATGTGTGACAGCCCTTAAAATATATTTTTGTTAAAAAGTACCCTTATAGATAACAAATACACAATGAAAATTTAAATGGTTTCATTTTATACTTAATGTGATTTTCTGTCATACCTACAGTAGATACACATCTTTCCCACCTTCAGAGGGTAGTGAGTGATAATTGAAGAGGTCCTGGGAGATTCACTCAACTAAATGAAAAATGATTAAATAAGCTAACTAATAAAGAACATGAAACCAAAAAATTTTACTGGTTGTCTTACACAAATCAACTGACATTTTCCTGGCTAAAATCTTTCACTACTACACTGGATATAAATAAATGGTTTAAAAAGTTGAGAAGTAAAAAAAAATAAAAAATAAAAAGTTGAGAAGTTTGCTATTGAAAAGAGTAAAGTTTGTATTACAACCCTTGAAGGAAACCCTTCAAATGGCAACAAAACTAACCTTAACACATTCATTAGATGACATACATGAAACATGACACAACAAGAAAGGGCTAGAGAAATGTGTTTACAGGGTAATGTTATGGGCTGCTCTTCCTTAGGACTTATGCTTAATAGCAAGCCACTACACAGCAGCACACAACTATCTGTAACTCCACTTCCTGGGGCACTGATGCCCTGTTATGGCATTCTGTGGAATCAAACACACATGTAATACACAGAAATCAGATGGTAGAGATGACAGATTAATGGGATACCTACCAAAGAAAGGTGCTAACGGGGAATACAACCAGGCCAAAGGAGAGAAGTGACTTATAGTGAACTGCAATGTGGATGTTGTCAAGGAAAAGAATATAAACCTATGACAACTGAAATGGTACTTGTCTATTACTTGAGTAACCAAAGGGGACATTACGATGTAAAACCAAAAATTATTTTTATTTAACAATGTAAGTATATAAAAAAATTTCAAGGACTTCAAAAATAATTATGTTGGAGAGGATGTGGAGGAAGGGGAACACTCATCCACTGCTGGTGGGAGTGCACACTTGTACAGCCATTTTGGAGATGACTATGTTGGTTCCGCAGGAAAATGGGAATCAGTTTACCACAGATCCGGCAATGCCACTCTTAGGCATATACCCAAATGATTTACATCCATGAAACAAAGACATGTGCTCAACTATGTTCATAGCAGCATTATTTGCAATAGCAAGAACCTGGAAGCAATCTAGATGCCCCTCAACTGAAGAATGGATAGAGAAGATGTGGCACATTTACACAATGGAATACTACTTTACAGGAAAAAAAACCAATGGAATCTTGAAATTCACAGGCAAGTGAATGGAACTTGAAGAAACCATCCTGAATGAGGTAACCCAGTCACAAAAAGAGGAACATGATATGAACTCACTCATATATGGAATTTAGACATACAGTAAAGGATCACCAGCCTATAATACACACCTCCAGAGAAACTAGGATACAAGGAGGATTCTAAGAGATTCACTTAAGGTCCGTCAGAGAAGGGGAAAGGGACAATGTCTCTGAGCATTTTGGAAGTGGGGGGACAACAGTGAGTGTAGAGGGAGCTAGGAGAAAGAGAAGGGGAGGACAGGAAAGCACGTGGGACTTGGAAGATTGAGTCAGAGGAGCAATAGACAAGAGAGGAGAGAGAGAGAGAGAAGAGAGAGAGAAAAGAGAGAGAGAGAGAGAGAGAGAGAGAACCATAAAAGAGGGAGCCATTAAAGGTTTGAAGAGAAAACTGACTCTAGAGAAATATCCAGTGACCTACAAGACTGACCTCAACTAACAATTTGAGCAACAATGGAAAGGCTACCATAAATGCCATTTCATGATAAGGAGATCAACGACTAACTTATCATCCATCATGGAGCCCTCATCTAGTAGCTGATGGAAACAGAAGCAGACACCCACATTTAAACACTAAGTTGAACTGGAATCTAATGCAGAGAGGGAGGACAAGACCAGACATCAGAAACACACAGAGACAGCTGACCTGAACAAGGAGGAGCTAATGGGCCCCAGACTGATAGCTAGGAATCCATCATGGGACTGAATCAGACAGCCTGAACATGGGTCTCAGTTGGAAGGCCTGGGCAATCTAAAGGACCTTGGTCAGAGGAACCAGGATGTATACCTGGTGCAAAAATGGACTTTGGGAGCATATTCCTTTAATCTGGAGGCAGAAGGGGAAGCCTATTCCCTACTCTAAATGACTTGACAGATTTAGGTGACCCTTCCTGGAATGCATCACCCTACATGTGGAGTGGGGTGGTGGGAGTGGAGGGTGGTCTGAGGAGATGGGAGAATGGGAGAGAGGGAAAGAGCAAGTGAGGGAGAGGGAACTGGGGTTGATATGTAAAATAAATAAAGAAAGAAACAAACAAATAAAAATTGTATATCTCCCTCTTTAAAAAAATTAAAATATAATCATGTGGGAACTGCTATTCAGGAGTAATACTTGAAACCACTTTTAAATAACTTTTAGAAAACATATAACTAATTATTCAAATAATGGCCCCAATGCATTTCTATGAAATGAAACACACATAATTAAAATCTAAAAACTACTTGCATCTGGGCATTGTTGATACAGGCATTTAATCCCAACACTTGGGAAGCAGAGAGATGTGGATTTCTGTGAATTCATGGCTAGTCTGTTCTACTGAGTGAGTTCCAGGGCAGGCTTCCAACATATACAAAAACTTTGCCTTGGGGAGAATAAAACAATCAAACAAAAATACCCCACAAACAGTCTGTACATTTACTGATCTTCTGGCCTATCACAGCACAGTTCAAATTCAATGTTCCCTATGGTGGATCAAGGTGAAACCTTGACTTACTTTGTTGATGGAATGTATCTTTGAACCATGAAAACTGTTTCCCCCTCAAGTTGGTTCTGGCCAGTATTTCTCCCAGTAACAGAAACCAAACTTGAATAAAAGAACAGATAAACATTGACACATGCAGGGACCTTTAAAAATGCCTACCTGGCACTAGAGAGAAAGGTGGGCCTGCAAAGTCCCTGGGTGTGATATACTGTCCGGAATCTCCACAGATGTTTCCAGGAGGAGGTGGAGGCAGGATTGGGCCTCTTGGATTCCCTGGAAAGGCAGGGCCTCTAGGACTTCTGACCAAAGGATCCAGTGGAGGAATCACGTCATGACCAACCGCATTGCATTCAGGAGGACTAGAGTTAGGCAAAGGTGCCTTCTGTAACAGAGTCACAATCAACAGTAAGTGAAGCTTCTTGATTCATAGCTCCTTTCCTGTGAGTGTAGGAATTATAGAAAGCCTGGGAACAGGCTGAATTTTCCTCATGTGTGTGAGAGCCACTTATTCACAGTCAGAAGTAGTTTTACTATCTCAACAGAAAGCTTTATGGATGGAACTAATCATCTACCTAGCTCCACCACAAACACAAATACAGTAAAAGCAGATCAAAACAGACACTTTTAAAAACAGATATACACCAGGATATGTTGGCACAGGCCATAAATCTCAGAATTTGTCTATTAGAGAAAGGTGGATATCTGTCAGAATGAGGGTGTCTGGTCAACAGAGTGAGTTCCAGGACTGACTCAAGATCTACTGGGATATCCTATCTCTAGGAAAAAACAACAAACAACAACAACAAAACCCCCCAAAACATAGAACTTTTATCAAACATAGATGCAAAAGGAAAATGTTTAACATGTTGGTGATTTCAAAATGATCCAAATTAATTTTATATTTGAAAAATGAAATACATGTTTAGATTCAAATAAGATTCAAGGAAGAAAATCTGAAATAGTAGACAGCACATATACAAGCTTTGAAGTTCTTCTAAAACTTGCACTTCTTTAAGTAGGAGATATCAAGTTTTTTTTCTCTTGCTTTTTTTTTTTTTTGTATATTTTTAATGCCAAAGAAATGGGTGTCTTGCTTGCATGTATATCTGCATTCATTGTTAAATTTTTGATTGTGAGCCTTGCCTTTAATGGCTGAGCCATCTCTCCAGCCCTATAAACTCATTGTGAAAGAATGATAGGATAGGGATTCAGATCCCTTGAATTGGAGGTAAGGATTGTCTGCCTGAAATCATGTGCTGGGATTCAAACCCAGCTCCTATGGGAGAGCAGCCAGTGCTATTAACCTGTTAGCCATTTCTCCAGCTCAGTAGTTTTTTGATTCACAATCTATGCATATTGGCTACACTGGCTTTGAATGTACCATACTCCTGCCTCATGATGTGGGAGTTGGAAAAAACTCGAATCTTGTGGTGAGGTAAGATGGAAATGCCCTGGGTTCAGTCACATTTCTCATGTTCCAAGAGATGGGTAAAGGACAGCTTAAGTTCAAAGCCCAAATACAAAACCAAAATCTTCAGCACTTGTACTGATATCCCATCACTCAGACATTACTTGATCTAAGAAATAAATCTTGACATTGAAAAAAAAACCTTCTTAGCTACATAGGACTAATAAGAAAGAATGTCTCCAGCAATTTTAGGTACATTTTCCCTATTTTGGCAGCTATGCAAGATCTCAATACATTGGAGACTTACTGTAAAATAGATTTTCAATGGAGTAAATCTCAAAGACTTAACATTCCCATTATGATCCTGACCTGATATCCTACAAGATATATTTCCTGTGTTGCCAATGAAATAAATTCCCTCCAAAATTCTCATATCATTCTCCTAGAAGGTTAAGAGTAGTTGCCATGGCAAAGTACAGACACTTAGGACAACTGAGATGGTTCTAGTCTAGTACTTGAACACTTGATTTACCGTATAGGAACATGTGAAGCAAAAGAGAAAATTATGCTGTATAAACAACAAATAACTGTTATTTTCAATTGTAAAGGCTGGAAAGAAGTTGAGGAATTCAACAAATTCAGTGAGGTCCATGACTGGCACCATATCTAATGGGAACACTATCTCTAGTTAAAAAAAAGAAAAAGAAAAAGAAAAGAAAAGAAAAGAAAACAGACACGTTTTAATCGAACACACACACACACACACACACACACACACACACACACACACAGGAAAATGATTGATATGTGGACATTTATAAAATGACAAAGTCATTTGAAAAGTAAAATACATACATATTAATATTCAAATAAGATTCCAAGGAAGAATTTATGAAATAGTGTAAAGCAAGTAAACAAGCTTGGAAGTTCATGTAAAAGTTGAACTTCTTGAATGGGAGATATCTGGTTTCTTTTTCTTGTTGGATTATTTTAGTGTTTTTTTTTTTTCATTTCACAGATATGGTATATTTGCCTGTATGTATGTCTGCATACTATAGTCATTCAGTGTTCTGTAAGGATAGAATATGCAAATCCCTTGGAGGTAAGATGGATTGTGAGCCACCACTCCAAGCTTGGAAATTAAACCTAGGTCCTGTATAAAAGGAGACATTGCATTTAACTGGAATGCCATTTCTCAAGTCTGTGTGGTTTAATGAGGCATATTCTGCATATATAGCCCACACTGGATTATATATTCCCATCCTACTGCCTCACTCTGGAAACTGCTGGGATCACATGTACCATCAAACAAAGGCTAGTGAGCTAAACAATTTCACATAAGGTTACAGACCAACAAAGAAAGTTAATGCTAAGTGCAAGTATATTTAACTCAAGCCTTGCTCTAAAATAAACAAGAAACTAGGTGTGCATCCACGGGTAGAATTCAATGTTCAGTACTTACGTTAGGATGATGTTTGTTGGCATTCTTCCCAGAATACAATGTGCAGGATAAATACATATATAATAGGTAAAATACATACATAATAGGATCCCAAAAAGATTTCAAGAAAGAAAATCTGAAAGAGGGTACTGAAAGTAAACAAGCTTGGAATTCATCTAAAAGTGTACTACTTGAAGTGTTCGATATCAGGTTTATTTCTCTTGTTTGCTTATTTTAGGATATTTTTTATTTCAGAGACATGGGAATTTGCCTGCATGTATTTCAACATATTGTATCCATTCAATATTCTGGAAATATATGATAGGGCATCATATCCCATGAACAGGAATTAAGAAGGATGGTCATCAACTACACAGGAGTGGGGAGTTAAACCCATGTCCTGTAGGAGAGCCAGCCAGTGGTCTTAAAAGTGTAAGCCATTTCTCTACTCTAGGTTAATTTTTTGAGGCAAATTGTCTTAAATAACCCAGACTGGCTTGAAATTCCCCTCCTCCTGGGTCAGCCAGCAAATTGCAAGGAACGCATGGACCATCAAATTCTGGCTTGTATTCTGTAAAATTTCACAGAAAGTTACAAGCCAACAATGAAAGTGTTACAGATAATTGAAAGTATATTTAATTAATATCACATATGAAACAACTCTAACCTTGTTCTAATAAAATAAGAAACCAGTTGTTGATCTATAGGTAGAATACAATTTCTAATACTTACCACAGGGTCATGTTTGGTGGCACTGCTACCAGATTCCAATGTGGAAGTGACTGGTGCATCTAGACCAAAAAATGAAACCAGTGAAACTCATGAATTCTTACATTATTCCCAGATCATTTCCAGATCAAAATGACAGTGACTTGTTCCACTCCCCTTGCTGGGACACAGAACAGGTCGACACGAAGCAGCCCCAGACTTAGACAAAATTCAAAATTACAGACATACTTTTGTAGTATGTGGCTGATGCATCCAAATGACACTTGGCAAACTTGACCAGTCACCTTAAATGACCAAATTCGTATACAGCATGGACTTCCCGTTTTCCAGGTGTGCCAACCTTTCCCTCAGTACATATGATATATTTCAGTTTATAGGTACCCTTATAGATAATGCAACAATTACACAATGAATATTGAAATTTCTGAATTTTATTATATCTTAATATTAGTTACTATAATATCTATAGTAGATAAACATCATTCCCTACATTAGTGAATAGTTAGTGATAGCTGAAGACATCTTGAAGGAATCAATCGACTGTATATAAAAATATTAAATTAGATAATTAATTAAGAACAAGAACACAAATTGTTTTACTGGTAGTCTTTTACATATCCATTGATATTTGCCTGCCTAATGTCCTTGTGTGGTAAACAGGATCTATCTAAATGCCTTAAAAAGAATGATGGAAGCTATGGAAGAGTAAGTTTGTATTATGACCAGATACAGGAAACCCTTCCTCTTGCATCAAAGCCAAACTTCAACACATACATTGGATTACAAGCCAAAAATATTAGACAAAATAAAGTTCTGGAAAAATGGCTTAAGTGGTGATGGGTATAGTAAATCATTACTATGGCATCAAAACTAACCTTACACATACACACACACATTAGCTGACACACAGCATGAATAGTGTGGTCAAATGGTCAAGGGAACAGTCTACTCTTCCTTAGGACCCGTGCTTGGTTCACAGAAACTACACAGCAGCTGACAGCCATCGGTATCTGCAATTCCAGGGTCTCTGAAGGCTTCTTTGGTCCTTCACATGCCTCACACATGAATGTGATACGCAGAAAGAAGATAGAAGCATTGCCAAATTCATGGGATAACTGCCAAGGAGGGCTGCTAACAGGGCACACTACCAGCCAAAAACAGAAAAATGCCTTGCACTGAATCTCTATGAAGATGCTGAGAACAAAGCCCAAGTCCTCAGTTCTGCTAGATGAGCCAGTATTAACCAGTCACCTACTACTTCTCCAGCCACAGATTCTTCCCTCTGGAAGCACAGAGTAAAATGACGTCATTATGGAATCATGTTGATGGGACACTGGCTGGGTTTAATATCAACACTGCCAAATATGACTATACCTCAATTACAATTTGACTATAGCTGTAGATACCAATACGTTTGTCTATAACCATATGTTTCTACACATTCCTGGTCTAAAAACTTTGAGAGTAGTGGTGAAGATATCCCCAATAGGGAGACTGAATGCATACCTACCAGGATATTATTATTAAACATAATAATCCAATTAAAAGATACTATCCATATTGAAATCAAAGGGAAATAACTTACTCATATGATTAGTATTCATATCACACGTACTTTTTAAAAAATAATCTGAAATTCTAATTGCATTATTCTTCCAGCTGAGCACCAGGAGCAGTACAGAAGGAACATCAGTCGCCTAAACAGCCAATTAGAAGAACTGAGTGCCATGGAAAGTGCCATGTCTACTTGTGTTTCAGGAGGTCCCTGCAAGTGCAGTTTGTAGGTTCCGGTGCTGGCTGTTGGGAAGGGCGAATGAAGTCTGGAGGGGGCTCATATATACTATCATGTTGTGTAAGTGGGGCCATTGTGCTTCTTTGGGCAAGGTAAGATGGAATGCGACTCAGCACCTCCACGTTTCTAAGGATCCAATATTTAGGAGTAGGACAGTGAAGTTGAACCCATTTACGTTTCACTTATGCAACCAAAAGCTCCAGACACTATTTTTGATCTGCCCAATTCAAAAGCACAATATATAATCAAACAAATATATCTTAAGTGGGTTACGTACTTGTTCAGTACATAGCATTAATAAGTTCTAATATCACTAACACTTCCAGGGGTATTTGTACTATCTAAAGAGATATATGAGATCTCAGTGCACTGAAGTCTTACTGCAAAAGAGCTCTTCAATGGAGTAAACTTTCAGAATTCACATTCCTATCGTGACACGAACCTGACTTCCTAAACGTGAAATTCCCTGTAATGTCAGAGAAAGGACTTGCACCCTAAAAAAGGCATATCTTTCACCTAGGAGCATACAACTAGAGGCCATGGCAGAGAGGACACCTAGGAGCACTGATTGGTTCTTCTTCTTTATGTTATAGACACATGGATACATGATTCACAGGAACAAAATATTAAATGTATTTTAGATTTTAAACATGATTGGGTGGGAACAATGATATTGGAGAAAACTTTGAAGTAATTGACTCCTGAATTTTTAGCCAAAACATCGAGACATTACATGCTATATTGGCCTCGGTACATTCTCATCAATGAAGACACAGAAATTTAATCTGAAAACGGTTTGCAGATGGGCATGTGTGGCCCAGGAATTTACTCTCCACACCTGGGAATCAAATATATGTGGATATCTATGTTTTTAGAGAGGCCTGATAAATAGAAAATTCCAGGACAGTCTCACCAAGTGAGGTGTAGAGAAAAAAGAAAAACAGACAATAAAAACACCTAGGAATCAAATATATGTGGATATCTATGATGTTAGGGAGGCCTGATGAACAGAAAATTGGGGGACATGCTCACCATATAGGGTGGGGAGAAAAAAAAAGAGAAAAACAGACAATAAAAACAGACACAACTTGGAAATTTACTGTTCTTCTGGTCTGTCAGAAAACAATTCATTTTCAAAATTCCATAATGTGTATCAAGGTGAAGCCTTGACATCATAGACATTTGGACTGTAAACTGAGGGCCCTCATGACCCTTTCCTTATCCAGTTGGTTTTGGGAACTGTTTCTAACAGAATGAAGAAAAAACTTTAAGTTAAGCACAGATCAACATTCAAAAATACTCAGACTTTTAAAACAAAACCTACCTGGCATTGGAGGAAACGGTGGTCCCACAAAGTCCCCTGGTGGGAAATACCATCCAGGACCTCCACAGGCGTTTCCTGGAGGAGGAGGTGGTGGGATCTGGCCTCTTGGATCAACTGTAAAGGCAGGGCCCTCAGGTCCTCTAAGCTCAGAACCAAGTGGAGGAGTCAATTCATGTCCAGCTGCATCATGTGCATCATGGCCAGAGGTGGGCAAACGTGTCTCCTGGAACAGAGTGACAATATGCTGTCAGTGAGGTAGTTTGCTTCACTATTGCTTTACTGGGAGTGTCAGGCACAGAAGAAAGCATTCCATGACATTCCAGCAAGCCATGTAACAGCCCCAGTTTGCCACATGTGTACAGGTGCTGTCTACTCGCTATCCTAACTAGGGTTACTAGTTCAGCACAAATTGTTAAACATGGCAGTGACACTCTCCCTAGCTCACCCTCAAACAAACACACAGTTCATGCTGATCTAGATAGACAGACACTTTATGAAACAGATATGCACCAGGAGGTAGTTAGAGACAATGGCCTTGAATATATGAACTCCCATTCAGATATTGGTATAGTTCTGTCAGTATGTGGCCAAATGGTCAATACAGTGGGATCGAAGACTGGAAGCATCTCTAATGGAAAAACCTATCTGGAATCGAAAAATAACGACGGTTTTTATCAGACACACACAAATAGGAAAACTCTTGAGTTGAGCATATTTCCACAATGAACAAAATCAAGGCTGTGTGTTAAAAGTAAAATAGATACATATTAAGATTCCAGTAAGATTTGCAGGACAGAAGTCTGAAAAAGAGCATTACAATTGAACAAATGTTGAATGTCATCTAAAAGTGTTAAAAGTTGAAGTGGGAGATATCAGTGTTTTTTTTTTATCATTGTTTTTCTCTTGTTTTTGTTAGCATTTTTTTTTTTCATTTCACAGAAAGGGCATTTTTGACTCCATGTATGTCTGCATACTATTTTCACTCACTGTTCTTGAAGGGCAGAATAGGACATCAGATCCCTTGAAATGGAGTTAAGATGGGTGGTGAGCCACCACAGAGTTTCTGGGAATCAAAACCAGGTCCTTCAAAAGAGCAGCGAATGCTTTTAATAGTGTATGCCTTTTCAGTCCTACCAGATTTTCAAGGCACATTCTGTCCATATAGCCCACGCAGGCTTTGAAAATGCCATGCTCCTGCCTGAATCTGCAAAATGCTAGGAACACGTGGGCCATCAATCCCTGGCCCGTGATCTGTATGATTTCACAGAAGGTTACAGGTCAACAATGAGTGGTGATGCTAGGTCTAAGTATACTTAATAAATATCACAACGCACAAGAGCTCAAGTCTTGTTCTAATGAAACCTAGAAACTCCTTGTGGATCCACGGGTAGATGTCAATTTCCACAACTTACCACGGGGTCGTGTTTGGTGGCACTCTTCCCGGACTCCAATGTTGAGTACACTGGCTCACCTAGAAGTTAAACCAGGAAAATTCATGAGTTCTCCCTTTATTTTCAGGAGGTTTCCCAATCCAAATACCACTGACATGTCCCATTCCCCTTGTCGGGATAGAATACAGGGCGACAGGAATACGATAGCAATGCTCATCACGGTGACAAAAGCAGCCTCAGACTTGGGAGAATTTCGATAGAACACATATGGTTTTGAAGTGTGCTGGTGACATGTACAGCTGGCTCTTAGGCAATCTTGCTTATTAGCCTTAAAGAACAACTAGAGATTCAGCATTCACATCCTGTCTGCATGGTATGCCAACCTTTCCTTCAGGACTGGACGGGCACTGTTATGGTCGAGAACCCTTACAAGTGACTCAACAAACATATAATGAAAAGTTCAATTTCTTAATATTATTTTTTGTTTATGTCCATTGCATTTATAACTACAACAGAAACACACCTTTCCTGATTCAGTGTATAATGAGTGACAGT